CTCAACAGAAAATTTGAATTAGATCCCCTAAAGTAGACCAATCTGGATGTGACACAAGCTTAGATACCACTTAAAATGGTATAGGCCTATTACCGGCCGCTGTTCAGGAACAGAGTCCACTCTAGCAGACCAGACTCAAGAGACCAGCAGAAATCGAGCCTAAAAAAGTCTACTCTTATCAAGATCATTTTTTTCTTATTATTTCTTTGAGTGCACCCTAACAGTTACCTTGATAGCTAAAAATAGTGGCATTTCATCATGAACACCCTAAACTGAGAGCAGAAACCTTGATTTATACCCCAAGGCGAGATGACCATTATCCCCAAACTTTTCATATGGGATTCCCCCCCCCCCCTTTCTAGGGGGGTTGTACAAAAAAGAGTTAACTCAACACCAGTTTAAATAAGACAAAATTTCCTTAGGGACCTCTTGTAGGCCCAGTTCATGAATATCACATTGTTTATTCACTGCCACCCGACAAAGAACCTTTAAGTCAGCAGGTGAGTTGTTCATTTTGTAGGTCAAAAGATTGGAAACATCGTCACTTCGATCCTCAGTGTTCACATTACAGCAGTGAATTACCAGCAACTGATGTCCACTTGAAGAAACATTACAACTTGTATAGTTGTCTGTTCCCTTTTCGTGGTCCATTCGTAAAAGTTCCTTGGCATCGAATTGAGTTTCAGGCTTTGAAAAATCAAGATCATGCATCAAAAACAGTGAAAATTGTTTCTTGTTGCAATCAACACCACTTTGGGGAATCACAATATAGTTGTCATAAGGTGATATATACAGCTCGTAAGCTGACAAAGTTGAATCTCCAGCAAAGTTCACATTCTGTAGTAAATTTCCCAAGGTGTCCCATATTAACACTGATCTGCAGTCTTCAAAATCGATTCCAGACTGACGACTGTCACTCAAGGGCATTTTAATTCGCTGACCACTGCACAATGCAAGAAAGAAATTTCCTTCATGGGAATATTTTGCATCTGCTACAAAGTTAAACCCTTTCAGCTTTGTCTCAACGTTGACTGTAAATGAATCCAAGTTTACAAACACCAGACCAACATAAAACACATATGAGCCCCTTCCAATAATTGCAAGGCTCTTTAGATCAGGGCTGAAATCTAACAATCTCCAAGAGAATGGAAGGTTTGTTAGCTCAATTTCACCACTCTTGATTTCTCTCACACACTGGACGTGAAAATCAGCTGAGGTTGGGCTCATTTTTTTGACTGCCATTTCCAACAAAATGAATTCTCCATCATTGAGAATAACACCAAACCAATAATGACCTGCATTCCGTAGAGGGGACACCCTCATGAAGCTAACACTAGCGCCCCAATGGAAATTACGATTGCTCTGGCGATTACACCGGTCTAACTTTACCTCGATTTCTTTGCGAAGGGCTCCTCCGCTATCAGCTGAATCTGGAGCAGGGCACGAAAACACAAAGGCACAACTTCGGAAATCCTCCAAGCGAGCGAAAACGTTCAAAAGTGGGTAACCACTGGTTGGAGTTAAATCGCAAACAATTTCTAAAACAGGACACGACGA